GGGGGGGGGGGGGGGCTGCAGCCCCCTCAGTCTACCCCCTGGCTACGCCACTGAGCCACAAACTGAGATAGCTAAATAAATGTAGTACCTACATTTTAATATTTAATGTTATTGTGTTGTTTTTCGCGATCTCCATTGGCCACGACGCATAATATATTAATATATTATGTTTTAGATTCAGATTTTTTTGAACAAATTAATTTTGTGTCCAGCCCACCAAATGAAAAAATACAGAAAACAAACTGTTAATTTTTGGATCAAGGTGTTAAAAAATAATCACAATTTTTCTTAGAAATGTTTTTAATGTTTTAATTTGTTTGATTGTCCTCCACGGCTCTACTCTATCAATGTAACCATTAGGTAGCTAAAATTTTGAAATTATAGAATATTGAATATTGTAAAAAAAAAAATCGAAAACCGTTACTGTTAATCCGACCAGCGCTCATAGACAATCATGGTTTAGAGTACTTTAGAATATAGTACTTATATTCATAGTATAAATAGCACATGCTATATTATAATTTATAGTCTGTGTAAATAGTATATCCATCTATCTATAAATATATGTATTTGAATTCATGATCCATAGGCTAGATATAAATAAACAATATAATTTTTAAATAACATTTTATGTTAATTGTGTATAACAATAATTAATAAAATAATATTATGCCATAATGTCACATTCGTATTATATAATATCAATATTATTTATTTAAATAACGTGACGATGGTCCAACGTTGCATGACAAAAATTAAAAAATGGTATGTTGTACTCATGTACACCGTCCGTGGAAGGGCTTGTTTGCAACCTCTTTGGCAGCGTACACTATACGTGTCGCCGACTCATCGACAAAAATCGTTGCATGTGTGTTCGTGTTGATGTTGTCGGTCAAGCCGCTACGTGGTTGTACGTTCCACAGAATATCGAAAGTAAACTGTACTCTAACTCCGTGACGTCCACCTTTTGCGGATCACTCGTCTCTTATGGTTCCTGACGTTTAATACGTGTCGTTTTACTACTGATGTCCATTAATAATTGAAGCCAAAAGACTGTCACAAACACAAATCAATCACAATGGGTTGTAAGTATTATTTCTGTTTATTTTCCATTATATTTTTGGCTTACATTTTTAAATACTTCGAGTTTTCTTTAGCGAAGGAACCCCTTTAAATCTGCGGTACCTGTTGGCAACGGGCATCTGCTGTAAATTGATTTATCTCTCGGCAGTTAATTACAATCATAAGTTTATTTATTTCTCAAACGATTTGTTAATTTGTTATAAGTTCCAAAATAATTCGTTTGAAACATTTCAACAATTTTTTCGGTTTTTAAAAAGTGGGTCAGGTTTTTGATCCTAAGAAATCGTTTTTCCATTCATTCTGAAATGTTTCATTGATTATATACTTAATAGTGTATGTATTGGGCTTATTGTTTTTTAATAAGCTAAATTTTAATTTTAACTGATAGAATTAAAACTAGGTGAGACTTATTAATTTATAAATTTAATAACTTTCATTTTTCAAGCATGGATTTATGTGACGTAGCTTGTCTGTTATATCTTCACATGATTAATAACATTAAATGAATAATTTAATTATTACATTTTGTAGGCAAATCTTGTAAATGTGTAATGTCTTGTGTTCTATTTTGAAATTGCATATTTGGCACTTTTCTTACACTTACTTGTTGTATAATAACTTACTATTTGATTTATGAATCTTCAAAATGTCAATAGTATTACCTTTCTATTAAGTGCCTACTCTGTGAAAAAGATGATAGTTTTTGTTCAATATTAAAGTAAGGTAACAATCTTTAAAAAAATTCTATCTAGATTACTGATTCAAATGCAATTCCTATACCTAAACACATTATCCAAAAGTTTAATTTTCGCTCTCATTGCGCATATTCCTTAGACATTGAGAAAACAATAACAATTGAATAATGTATTGTATATTTGTTTTATAATATTTTAATTTTTAATCAAAGCCCATAAAACATTTTGTGTGCACTGTTGTTTAGTTGATTACATAGTATACACTGATATTTTGTGTCCAACAAATTAAATTATTAGTTCTTTCAAAAATTATTTTTAATTTTGAATGTACTCGTAAAATCTTATTTATTACCTAATACTTACATTTCAGATCGTTCAAAAACACAGATCTCCGCGGTACAAAAATTTAATTTATTTGTTTCTTTATTTTTGTTTCAGTTAAATTTTTAGAAGTAATTAAACCTTTCTGCAGTATACTTCCAGAAATTGCTAAACCTGAACGAAAAGTAAGTATTTAGGCGCAGCTTAACTATTTATGTTAACAGGGTCATTTTAGGTCACTAAAAACAGACCAAATAAACTAACTTATGTGTCTTAATAACTACTGCTCAATCATTAGATCCAAGTAATATTAGTCTTGTTTAAGTTAAAAAAAATATGCTTATATTTTGCATTGAGTGTATTAGTAAATCGTACAATATTGAATATACTCAATGATTTAATTAAGCAAATAAACATATTTATTAGATAATATGTTAATTTAAATTGATGAATTTATTTTTAATTTGCTTATTGGTTATAAATAATAAAAATAAAAATAAAAAATAATAATAATAAATAGATTCCCAGGCTAATTTTAATCTATTTTGATGGTTTGTTATTTGTATATATTTTTTAAATTATGTATTGATAGCAGAGAAGTGATTGTCAATTATTAATATATTTGCTTTTAAATTACAATCAATTACAAATAATGAATTTAATCAATGTTTTATTAATGTTTACTAATTATATATTCTTATTTTGCTTAGATCCAATTCAGAGAAAAAGTATTATGGACTGCAATTACGTTATTCATTTTTTTGGTTTGCTGTCAAGTAAGTTATTTTATCTTATAATCATTTTTGGTGTTTTTAGAATTGAAAAATGATTTAATTTTTAGATACCTTTGTTTGGAATTATGAGTTCAGACTCAGCTGATCCTTTTTATTGGATTCGTGTAATTTTGGCTTCAAATCGAGGTACTTTAATGGAACTTGGAATTTCACCAATTGTAACTTCAGGGCTTATCATGCAATTGTTGGCTGGAGCTAAAATTATTGAAGTTGGTGATACTCCTAAAGATCGTGCATTATTTAATGGAGCACAAAAATGTATGATTTATATTTAAACTAAATTTAAAATGTAATAAATATTTTATTTAATTCAAAAATATTTTTGGTTTTAGTGTTTGGTATGGTTATTACTGTTGGTCAAGCAATTGTCTATGTTATGACTGGTATGTATGGTGATCCCAGTGAAATTGGAGCTGGCGTATGCTTGCTAATCATCATCCAGTTGTTTGTGGCTGGATTAATTGTCTTGTTATTGGACGAACTTTTGCAAAAAGGATATGGGTTAGGTTCCGGAATATCACTCTTCATTGCAACTAATATTTGTGAAACAATAGTCTGGAAAGCTTTCAGTCCAACAACTGTAAACACAGGTGAATTTTATTTAAAGATTTTTACAAGGTATTGGTTATTTTATAGTTGGTTTGTAAAATTCTATTTATGTTTTTTTTAGGACGAGGTACTGAATTTGAAGGAGCTGTTATAGCCTTGTTCCATTTATTGGCCACAAGACAGGATAAAGTTAGAGCACTTAGAGAAGCATTTTATAGACAAAACTTACCGAATTTGATGAATTTATTGGCAACTGTATTGGTGTTTGCTATTGTAATATACTTCCAAGTAGGTTAAAATTTAAAAAAAGTGTTAAGTTTTATGTTAATACATTCATGAAAATATTATAGGGTTTCCGAGTTGATCTACCAATTAAGTCTGCCAGGTATCGTGGACAATATAGCAGCTATCCAATCAAGTTATTCTATACATCTAACATTCCTATCATTTTACAATCTGCTCTAGTATCAAATTTATACGTTATATCTCAGGTAAAAAGATTGTCATTAAATTTTGATTACATAATATAACCACTCATGTTTTGAATATCTAATTTATAGATGTTGGCTGTAAAATTCCATGGTAACATATTAGTGAATTTATTGGGTGTTTGGGCTGATGTTGGTGGTGGTGGACCAGCACGAGCATATCCAGTTGGCGGTTTGTGCTATTATTTATCTCCACCAGAAAATCTATCTCACATTGCAGAAGATCCTATTCACGCTATTCTTTATATTGTATTTATGTTGGGATCATGTGCATTCTTTTCCAAAACTTGGATTGAAGTCTCTGGGTCATCCGCTAAAGACGTTAGTACAGCAAATTGATATTCAATTTTATTTATTTATGTTAATTCTATAATTACAAAACATTTATGTTTATAGGTTGCGAAACAATTGAAAGAACAACAAATGGTTATGCGTGGTCACAGGGATAACTCTATGATTCATGAACTGAACCGTTATATACCTACTGCTGCAGCTTTTGGAGGACTTTGTATTGGTGCATTGTCTGTGTTGGCTGACTTTATGGGTGCCATTGGATCGGGTACGGGTATCCTGTTAGCTGTTACTATTATATACCAGTATTTTGAAATATTTGTTAAAGAACAAAGTGAAATGGGTGGTATGAGTACCTTGTTGTTCTAAAATGTTAATACATTATCGAACAGTTAATGAAATTGTTGAAAAAATCATCAAGTCCCTATGGGACAGAACTGTTGTTGTCATGGTCTACGCATGACTCAAATTTAAATTATTCTGAAAATAACTTTATTTTTAGAAATAAAAATTTATTGATAAACCGACACAGCATTTCAAAATAATGTTATTTTAAAAATTGTCCAAAAAAAATGTCCCCACAACAAATTTATATTTATTTGTTATTATTATTATAATTTTTTTTTTTTGTAAATTATATAAATGTTAGTAAATAGGAAATTTATAATATATGAACATTTTTTTTCTCTTAAAGCTTACGTCATAATATAAATATAATGTTGCAATTGGCAACAATTCTTCCTAATTTTTTTAATGTAAATACTAAATACTTACAGTAAGTTAATAGCAGTATAATTAAGAATATGTTTTGAGTCAAATGATTATATTTTTTTTCTGACCATCTCAACTATTGTTTTGTCACTTCATTTACTAATGACTCATTGCTATATGTTAATAAATAATAATTAAAAAATCTTTTATTTACCATCATTCTTTTCTATATTAATAGAAAAATGAATTGATATGGTACAATAATATATACTTATGAGATTCTGTAATTGAAGTGCATTTTAAGCATATCTATTGTTATGGAAAAATTGTTATAGTAAATCAATTATGTCTGATTGTCGTTCAAAAATTGAAATGGCGTAATGATAAGGGTTTTCTTATATTTTCATTTAACATTTTTACGTACAATTGAATAAAAACATTTTTGATTATTTTACCATTTTTTTATTCATCAGAATTATTTTTAATGTCAGATGAATTACATATATAAATATATTTTGTTAGCATTCTATTATATTCAGGTGGTTTTATCAAAACTGCATGGGGAATTGAGATGAATCTCATGTGCCCAGTTTCTGATTCAGGTGCACGTGGTTCTATATCACCAATAGCTATTACTTTTATCATATTATTATGTATGACACGATTAATATCCATTAATTATCCTAAATAGTTTAATAACAATAATTAAATTTTATAATTTTCATTTGACTAGGTTTAATATATTTTACTTACATTATAAAAGTATTATGTATTCTTCCCTGTATTTAACATAGTAAAACTCAAAAGTTAAGTAAGTAATAATCATACGTTATAATAATTAATGCCATTATGTAAGTTTGGTTAATCGTATGTCGTACTATCGTGTATTCTTCACAGTATTTAAAATAGTAAAACGAAAAGATTAGTAAGTAATAGGTAACAGATATAATTATGCACAAATTGAGTTAATAGTACGTTTACCGCCGAGAATCATGCGGGTTAGGTTCTAATACTGTCATTATTGTGGCGCATTGGCGCGAACGGTTTTATTGTCGCGGTGGTAAACCCGTTGGGCGAAAATACTGAAGTGTGACGAGACCCTTAAGGGGCGAGTGGCAGATTGCAGTATTACTTTGCATAAAATCCTCCGAGAGTATATGCGTCAATTTTTATTGACACGTACGGTTTTATAATATGCCTTAAATTGCGCAATGAGTGAGTACATTACTGTATTTTTCGCTACAAACTTGCGGCTAACGGAGGTGACGAGGTCAAGTGCGCTATCGTGTGGGCATCTGGTCACGCAGCGTATGGGGCAGCATACATAGGCCTCGTTGGTGGGCGAACGGTGTGCAGTGTAAGGGAAGAACGCAGTGCATCCGCAGCAGCGCGCCACCACTTGGGCGTGGCACGTCCTATCCGCCACCGCGAGCGGCATCACTATAATCCTCTCCTCTTGCGATTCCTCACCATTACTCGCTTGCTCTCTGTCTTTCTCTCTCTCTCACTCTCTTTCGCGCCTTTGCCCTGGGTCCGACGTTGCCATGGAGACCGCATCTTGTCCCTCGTCTTAAATCAATAATAAAAACGTGGAACGCGAACGAACGATCCTGACGCGCCACGGCAACGTCGCAGCAACGCCCGGCGTGACGACAGATTCTCTGGTACGATATGTTTGCGTTTAGAAGAAAAGGGGTACCGGACGCACTCCGATATTAGCGACTCCCAGTACTGTGTCCAAATGTCTAATTTGTTCGCCCATAACAATTTATTAATTATCTCACAGACACAAATATAGGATAAAAAAAAAGAGGAAAAACGATTTTGTGTTCAATGTTCAAGCTTTTGCAAGCAGCGAATCCTTCTTACACCCTTCTCCCCTTATACCACCCTGTTATGCACGTGAGAGCGCTGCGACGAAATAGACCAGATACTGAGGAAGTGAGACTTCTCGGATAATGACGCCGGGGCTCCCTCGCCTTAAATTGGGTTAAATATCAATGGGGTCGTGCGTCATATGCTTTGATTGCGGATTTTAAAGTGGTGCTTGTCGAATTATTTTTTTCATTACGTTGTCGCCAGACGACAACGCTACTGAATTGCCTCCGGATGAGAATAGGTGAGGTTCCTGGGGTGGTGGCAAAAGAGGCACTCGAGGTGAGTGGCGACGCATTCAAGAGGTTCGAGATGATGGGTCAATAAAATGAATGATGCTGGTTTTTGAACACGTTGCGGTAACATGGTTGGTTTCTCGGCTTGCCCGAATACCGGAATACGTGTCACGTCGAAAAAACGACCAACACACTGACAACTACGCTGTCTCGATAATATCGATGACAAAATTATTGAAAAAATTCCGATTCTCTTAGGCCGCACGTGGGTATCTACATCGTAAAGGTACGCGCACACTGCTGCGGTAGACGGTACGGTAACGATACGGTAAACAATATTTTATTTGTGCGGTAATTTTTACCGTAGGAGCTTGCACACTAATCCGGTAACGATATGAGTTACCGGACGGTAAAATATCGTACCGGAACGTTTTTCGTTACAACTAGCACACACTGCTGCGATAATGCGGTACGATATATTATCTGACACACATATAGAAATTTTGAGGTTTATAGTTTATACCCTCTCAATTTATTTTCAAAAATATTTTTTTTTCGACTGCTATGTAAAATTAATATGAATATTTTGGTTATAAACCCTTCCCTTCCCACAAGACGATAATTTCTCTGTAAATGAGCCTATAATACAAGTCTTAATAATATGTGTAGGTACCTAATGTCTTAATTTTCCTATTATTAATTGTAAAGAAACTCTATATCAAAAAATTATAATTAATTAATAATATTAGATGTCAATGTAAGAATCTCCGAAAATTAATTGTATTTTTGCTGTCAATATTTTTTGTTTGTCTTACAATTTTGATAAAGTTCTCTTTTTTATTGTATTTAAAACAAACAGAACTTTTTAAAAATATTTAAATACATACTTACTAATCGTTTAGCACAATATTAGGTAAATAATCATTTATCAGTGATTAATTCCCACTACTTATATTAGCCGATTGACTAAGGTTACATAAATATACATCTGCATGGCGATATATTATCTTTATCTTTGACCCGGTTCTTAGTAATGTAATGAAACCCTGCAGTAGATACTACAGTGGTGTTCTGGGCTTCGTATGTGATACAACTTAAACACTAATCAGTAATCACTTGTTTAATTATACGTCTTGTCACTTGTGCCAAAGTTATATATTATTATTAAAATATAATATAAAATATACGTTTATGATGTATTCAGACTCCAGTTCGTCAGATGAAGAATTTTTAGCTTTAACAGCTTTATTAGAAAATGGTGATACTTCGTAAGTCATTTTAATAAGATATTTCGTATAATGATGGTACTTATTACATAACTATAATAATTAAATATAATTCAGTTCTATAGGTGATAAAAGATTATGGGTCCATCAAATAAATGTAGAGCGAAAAACGTACGGTGAATATCACACACTGATGCCCCAACTCAGAAAAGACCCTAAACGGTTCTATTTGTATTTTCGCATGAATAGCGAATGTTTTGACCAATTGCTTAGTTTTATATACAAGGATATCGAGAAACAGCTAACTAGTTTTAGAGAACCAATATCTCCAGAAGAACGCCTAGTTGTAGCTCTCAGGTAATGTAAAACAATATGTGCCTCAAAGAATAACAAGTTGGGTTGGCCAATGGCCTTATAGAACCATAGAATAGTATTTAACCAGCAACCACTCATTCATAGATTTTAAATTAAGCATTTTTTTTAACTTTTTGATAATCTAGGATGTAATGTCGTAATATATAGTTTATGTCCCTCAGTCGTTATAAACTTTAAAAACTCATGGTTGATTCTTATTAGATATAATATAATCGGTGATAATTTTGTACTTCTAACTTCTTGTATTTATAAGGTATATTTTATATTGAATTACTTAAATATCTATTACCTAATGTATCTATATTCTATATAAGTATACATAATAAAACTTAACTGATATATATATATATATATTAAACTAGACTGAAAATAGCATTCTTATCTAACATACCTATATTATAATTCTTAATGTAGATAAGTTCCAAAATAAATCGATATTTACGATAACATCATTAATAATTATAGTACATGTAGGTATGTAAGCTTACATTATAATATTAAGTTATATAATTACATTTAAGATAATTTTCTGAAATAATTTACTTAAACTGTACACGTAAGATTTAAAGATTGTATTTTAATGATCATGATTAATTATTAGTTATGACTTAGGTGTACTGTTTTAAATTTTAATAAGGAATTATTATCTAATATTCATTAAAAGGTAATTCTTTGGTGAAGTCTACAGGCTCTTCTTGGTAGACTTCCTCTTCATACTGCGATAACTGTGATTTTGGGGAGGGAGACCTGTCGTGAGTTTCCAATACGTTACTATTACTGCAAGAAGGGTATAGCTGTTCACAGTTAGACGTATTATAACTGGGACCTGTATTGATGGCTTCATTCTGTGTCATATAATTCGAACGGTTACTTACGTTTGTACGAGTTGACTCTTTATATGTAATAGTGGTATTTATCTTCTCTAACTCATGAAGTTCTTCAAATTCTGTATCTGCTATCAACTGTCCAATTTTCATTTTTAGTAGCACTTGTCTTTTTGAGGAAAGTGTGCTTACTGTTTTCGCCCATCCCATAAAAGTATGTTCAACCGCGGTCATTGAACGTTTGTTCTCATTTTTTTCTCTGAAATAATTTATTACTTTTTGAATACCCAAATCTGTGTCCACGTTTTCTTCAATTGTGCATCTTTTTCTTTTTGAGGTATTTCGTACTTGTGCAACAACTGATTTTTCTGTACCGATATTCTCTTCTTCTATTTCTTGACTGAACTCTGGTCTCGGTTGAGTTGTAAGGACGTTAGAAACAGATTCTTCTTGTCCAGGAATATTAGAAAGTGTGCTGTAATATTTATTAAAATTATTATATTTTTCATTTTCTATTTAAATAATAAAATTAGCAATCATATTACCTAGCTAATTGTAAATACGGCTTTAAAAATTCCATTTGGGTAGCCCATTGCCACTTTTTGTAGTTGGCCAAACTTTTATTGATTACCTCATTTGCACCTTGACCAGTTCTTGTTTTATTTGCTCGCAAATATTTTTGATAATTGTCTCTTAAATTGCGCCACCGTTTGTATAGAATTGCTCCTAATCAAATGTTATGTGAATAATTAAAGTGTTTTTTTTGTGTTTATTAATAATTATTAAAAAATCAGTAAATTACAATAAACGATAGTTAATTTATGTATAGGTAGTTAAATGTTTATTACTACTTAAGCTATAAAAATTCATAAAAATAAATAATTTATACATTTTAATGTATATAGGTATTTAACTATTTTTATTTCTAAAATTTTAGTAGACATTATAATAATTATAACAACCCAAACCCAAAATCAATTTAAAAATTTAAAAATAGGGAACTCCTTTCCTATAGTACGTTTCTGATGTAGGTACCTCTAACAGTAATTGATGTGTTATATTCGAATTTATTATTAAATCATAGGTATCTACAAAAAACTTTTTGAGTTAAAACAGTATATTTTTATTTATATTAGTAATTTATTTTTATATCTGTTTTCAGTTCCTACCTAATAGCATGTTAAATTATTTTTGCAGATGAGTGAATAGGAAATTACTTAGTAAAAAAAAAAAAAATGAAAAAAATTAGAAAATTTAAAATCTTTATAAATGTCAAAAAAGAAGCCGAAATATTTAGTAAATAACACTATGATGTAATAGTATATTCAATGATAGGATAAATCTAGTTAGATCAAAAGTAAAAAAAACCGGAATTTTGGACATACTTATTTTACCATACTAAAAAAATAGTTGAAATCCAATTAGCCTTGTTTTTTATAATTTAACTGGTATAATTTTGTATTTAGGTTTATGTTTATAATATTTTTGTTTTTAGACATTAGAATGGATCTTAGAATACTTTTATGATTGCGTTAAAATGCAATATCATATCCACCATCTTGTATTTTACTATATCGTCTAAAACAAAAAAAATAATTGACTTAACTTTTTTTCTTATTAAATTATTAGGTTTTTAGCTACAGGAGATTCTTACAAAACAATTGGCTATAGTTTTCGAATGGGGTTTTCAACTGTTAGTAATATTATTAAGGAAGTATGTGAAGCTATAAATCGAAAAATGATAAACATATATTTACCTGAACCAACACAATCAACGTGGTTACAGTCAGCAGAAACATTTTTACAGAAGTGGAATTTTCCAAATGCCATCGGTAGCATCGATGGTAAACATGTTACCATAAAATGTCCTAATAATACCGGTTCAAGACACTTCTGTTACCTAAAAAAATTTTCAGTCGTCCTCATGGCCATTGTGGATGCAGATTATAAGTTTGTTTGTGTAGATATAGGTGGATATGGCCGTAATAGTGACGGAGGAATTTTTGAAGCATCAATTATGGGACAACGTTTTCAAAATAAAACAATAAATGTACCCGTCGACCAACCATTACCTAATCAACAGGAACCAACACCATATGTACTATTGGGAGACGAAGCTTTTCCATTGAAATCATACTTAATGAGGCCATTTCCCTACCGTCAGTCAAGGCAAGAACATACAAAAGATTTGTTTAACTACAGATTATGCCGTGCTAGACGCGTCGTAGAAAATGCATTTGGAATTTTGTCTAAAAAATTTAGAATTTACTCCAGACCATTGGAAATGAACGTAGATACAGTAAATACTGTTGTACTGGCTACATGTATTTTGCACAATTTTTTAAGAGTTAATACATCAGGCGATACAGATTATTTTGAATATATTGAACAAGAACAAACACCCGACTTGAATGCATTAGAGAGTTTAATAAACGATCCCAGAAGAGGATCCAATGAGGCTTTTGAAGTGAGAAATAAATTTATAAACTGGTTTATTCAAAATGAATTGTAAGTGTAATGTTTGTACACATTATTTTTGCAGTTTAGTTTAATATTACATTATAATATTATTATTTATGAATAAAAGTATGTTATAAAATATTATAATATATATAAATTAATATTGTGTATTATTTTGTATTATCATAACTCTTAATCCAAATACAATTTTCCGATGTTTTATAATGTCTATATGTCTAAGATTCCCATTCAAAATAATTGATTTTTCTTATGATTTATGAAGTACCTATTCATTTTATGTTCAACATTATGAAACCGTTTTATTAATTTAATTAATACTTTTAAATTTTAATGAATAGTTATATTATGTTATCATGATTTCTTAATTATATATAGCTTTTAAAATAATTTAGGTACTACATTGGTTAGGTTAGGTACAATTTATAAGTGCATATTATGAATTTAAAATGGTTCGTTGTTCTATATTTAACATTGCAGGATAAGTATTAGGTTTATTCTTTATAAAAATTTCACTAGATTAACTCAAAATCTAAATATATTTTAATAGTTTTATTTACATCTGAATATTTTTTATATACATTTTATTATTTAAAATCGTTGTGCAATTATTGTAACATGTCCAGGGGCGTTATCTCAATATTTTCTAGGGTAGTACCACCGAATGACGCCCCTGAACATGACACTACTTACCATTTTCCCCTCCCATTGCCTTACTGATCTCATTGTCGAATATCCGGTCCTTTTGTCTGTAGTCCTTGTACTGCGGGTGTTCTTGATTATATAATAACTCATATTTTTTAACTTCTAAAATAAGCAATTCTGTGTTAATAGCTGACATTTTTAAAATCTTTAAAAGATCCAAATACACTAAAACTCTAACCGTTCTGTATGACAGAAGATTAGTGACTGACCAAAAGTTGAAAAGTCTGAAAATACAAAGTATATCTACCAACGAATTCTATTTTAAATTTTGATCTGTTCTTTTTCCATGAACTTAATATTTTTGCTCTTCCAAAAATCACTTCATTAAATTTCCTATAAGTGTAAATAAGAATACTAGGGATAAGAACTGTAGGTACTCATAAAGTGTTTCGTAGAAACTGACAAATGTAGGTACCTACTTAGTATATAGTTTCTTAAATTCACTAATATGAATTACAATGAAATTACGTATTTTGTATACATTGCTAAAAGTGGGTACTATACGTTAATCAAAATGTTTTTACATTTTACCTAAAGCTAAATTAAAAAGTAATTATATAACTGAGTTAAATTCATATTTTTTCAGGTGTTAACTTTAAACTTAAGAGTGAAGTATAATGTTTATTAAATCTTAAATATAGCTTTCTAAATGTTGACTTGACTTAACTAACTAAAGGTAATTTTTGCCCACATTTGCAAAATGGGAGTATAGGAGTATATTTGATAAAAAAATTCGTTATTAATATTAATTATTATGATATACCTACTGTACTTTGAATACGTAATTTAAATATTAATAATATAATTAGTACGTATAACATATAGCACTTAATGCCATAATGGTAATATACATATAGTTTTACAGCTAAACAGCTAAACAGCTTCATATTATGTATTGTATATCATAATTATTACAAAATAGATAAACATTATTGCTATTAATATTTATCGGCCCGGTAGACGGTAATTATCGTGCATGCAACGTTAAAAAAATATCGGTGCACGGTGCGATATATTTTACCGTACCGGCGATTTATCGTAGCAATGTGCGCATCTACATTTAATTACATTCGTTTAGTTTTAAACTTTACCGCACAAAGATTATCGGCGCGCCTACCGTTCACCGATCCGATAATATCGTACCAATGTGGTTTGCCTCATATAAAACTATGA